AAATACTTAGAGATCACAAAACTTTTTTTTGAAAAAATCGCAGCTTTTTATACAAAATCGGTGAAAAAAACTTTGAAATTTTTTTTCAGCGAATTTTAACAAAAACCTGCGATTTTTTATAAAAAAAATTCAAAAATATTTGTTGTGATCTCTAAGTATTTTTTTTATGCATTTTTATGATTTTTAAGGTTTTTTTAGGGTTTTTTTGTTTTCCATAGAACCTAAACCTATATATATATATATATATATAAGAGACATTTTTACTTGCACCAGATGCATTTGAAACCTCCATGAATTTTCAATTTCTTTCTAATAATTATTATAAATTGGTTAATAATGTTAAATTAATGTAAAAACTAAATTCTAATTATAAATTAACTAAACTACAATATTAAAATATCATATTTTACTTGTATTTATAAAATTATGACTTTAACTTTCACTACTAGAAAATTGGTGCAATAGCTACAGCACAATCCGTAGCTATTCTGTAGCTATAAACGGATAGCTACGGAATTGCTACGGAAAATTGGCTGTAGCATAATGACCCGTGGTTAAATTATAGTTATGGATTAGCTACAGAATCGCTACGGAATAGCTACGGAATTCTCCGTAGCTACTATAGCTACGGAAATAAATACCTACAGATTTCTTACGGAATAGTTACAGAATAGCTACGAAACTAAATAGTTACGGATCCAAATAGCTACGGAACTAAATAGCTACGGGAATCCGTAGCTATTCCGTAGCTAACTTCGTTTTATTTAAAAAAAAATTAAAATTTAAAAATTTCCAATTTTTTGTCAAATACCACATTCAATTCACATTTGTCCCAAATACCATATAAAATACACCAAAAAACGTCCCTAATACCAAGTTTGACACATTCCATTCCATTGTCCAAAATATCTTACAAAAGTAAGCACTAATTAACAAAACAATCAATACCAAATGTTTACAAATTCAATTGTTCCAAAATACTTATCAATTGTCCTCAGGTGGATTATCGGGGGGAGCACGGGGTTGATTTCCAGACATATTCATCATCCTCAAAACCATTTCCATTTGTTCTTTCATTTGTTGTTGTTGTTGTTCCATGGTAGAAACTTGTGCACGCAACCTATCAATCTAAAAAAATGGCAACACAATTCAATAGTTAAACAATATTAGCAATGTACTTTAGCTTATTATAACAATGCATTTTTGTTTATAATACTTATAGCAATATACTTAACTTTTAACAATAATAACAACGTACTTATGTTTATTATCAATTTAATCAATATTATCAACAAACTACCTAACTTTTAACCATAATAACAACGTACTTTTGTTTATTATCAACTTAATCGATATTATCAACAAACTACCTAAATTTTAACCATAATAGCAACGTACTTTTGTTTATTATCAACTTAATCAATATTATCAACATACTACTTAACTTTTAAACAATAACAACATACCTCTTGCTGTGTACTATCTGATTGGGTGGATTGGGAAGATGGTGTCCAAGAAACCACAAAACGTATATCTGATGCTCCGATGTCGTAGATATCACTCTTCTTCTTTCATTTTCTCCTAAGTTGGGTTTCCTCCCATACCCCCGCATCATATTTATGGTTTGAAGAGTCTTGTCCGTATTTTTTGACAAACCCCTGTAGATACGCCTCCTACAAATTACCAAAACTGTATCATTGTCATGTAAAAAAATACTGAGACAATCAGTATACATAAATGATAAAAGATAAGTTACTTGTGCTTATTTGGCAGTTTGTGAGCAATATTCGAGATTTCCATGATCTCCTATAAAATATATTTTTTTCGCCTCAGTTGTGCCATGCGTCTTCATGAAAACATCAAATTGTGTGGGTGGTTTACCCATCATCTTTTCCTACATAAAATACAAAGTATAACTAATGTAGTTAGTGTTAAAAAAAATAAGATAATAAAATTTATAATTATGATACTTACTAAGTTGTTACAGTGCTCGTCAAATCCTATACTACCCGCTGTGTGCCCTGCTGTCGACCCATTAGCATCTATGAATTTGCGGTTCTGCTGAGCAATTTTTGAATTCTTTCTCCTTAGCTTTGGGGCTAAGCTACCTTAACTATAAAAGGAGGCTCCTAGCTCCCAAATTCGGTCACCTCTTCTTTTAGAGAAACCCTGGCTGAAAATTGTATACTCCCTCCTCTCTCTCTCTCTCTCTCTATAGTTTCCTTCTTGCTAGCTCTTGGGTGTGATTCCATTAGAGGCACAACAATTGTGGTGCTAGGCTTCCAAGAAGATCATGATCAAAGTATTTTCAATTGTTTACTTTAACAATTGTAAGGTATGTGATTCTAAAACCCTTTTGGTTATTTTCGAAAATAGCTTCATCCCTTAGGGTTCTTGTTTTGCAATTCATAGTTATATGTTCAATAGTTAATATATAGATCCAAAGTAGGTTGCATGTGAACTTAGAAATTGTTTTTCTAATTTATTTGTTTACCCAAAACCCATCAGTGGTATCAGAGTTGGTTTTGTTTTAAATTGAACTAGATTATGGCCCGCGTTAAACGTGGGGGAACGCATAAAAAAATACAAATTGTTGAAGGACCTCTTTGTAGACAACTTTATATGTCAAAACGAATTGGATGCATTAATAGGTTAAAATGAATTTATTAAATTCTTCAATACATATATTAAATAAATTTAATATCATAAAACAAAATAAAACATGAGTTGACGATTAAATATCTTCATGGGAAAAAACAACGATTTTCGAATGCAAATTAAAATATATACAATCACATATTTCTACTTGGTGTAGTCACTGCCTTACAATCTGAACGAAATGAAAATACTTTATGAAAAGGATGTGCCCAAATGATGTTCAATCGTATTTCCTTTAAAGAAATAAAGGAGGCAAGGGAAGAGGTGGGGGTGTACAATGTTTCCAACTTGCAAGTTGCATCATAATCATATAATAAGTCTTCAATGAATAAAATTATTGAATCAAGTTTTTTAATTATACAAAAAGGTCATTGATCTTATATAAAATTTCATTTCATAGTTTTTAAGTTTAAAGTTACAACCAATAGCATAAAATATTTTATACATAGTTCAGTGCAAGTAATACCAATTTGATACTTTGATGATTCATTGGTTTGTTTCAATGTGTTATTAGTTGGGTTTCATTTTTTGTTAAGTTTATAATACTTTGACAGTCCTAAAAAAACTCACCAAATGATGACGCTTAAAATGAAAAAGTATTCATCAATCGTTGTAGTTTGTAATTTATTTACCAACATATGATAAAAATACTCTCCACCTCATATCCACTTATATCATTAGAAAACTAATAACAAATACAACCTACCATTACTAATGAGTTTCCTTCTTCAACTCCATTTCTCAGTGTATTTGTTTCATATATTTCACAAGCTTTGAGGAAAACGGGTGAAGATAGTACACCTATTAGTTAAGAGTTGAGATATTACATAAAAATTTAGTAAGCATGGCAAAAAATAAAAATACAAGAATTCGTTAATGCAAAACACTATGCATGAGTCTCGTGGGAATTTGTTATTCATGACAATAGGCATAAAAAGGTGTTATTTTTTTTGACATAATCTTATTTGGTTTATTCATCCAAATGATTAGAATGAAGATATTTGGGGTTTATGGTTGATGTCATATACTTTTAACATAATGATTTTACCATTTGAGATATAAAGGATGTTGCATGATTAAAAAAAGATTTATTATTGTTCACGTAAATCATGTTTGGGTAACATAATGTTGTTTTACAATATATGACTTTCTCAATAGCTTTCTCACCGATATTTGTCCCTTTTCACAACTTTCCTCATAAACTTTTCTTCCATATTTTAAAAGTTGGAACGATATTTAATTTCCTTTTCGTATTTGAAAATTACGTTGCAGTTAATTATGTTGCTTATGATTTAATCATCTACTGTTTTAGTGATAATTGAAGGCAACGATCCCAAGAAAGCTTATCATGAACAAGAACAAAAACATCTTTAGTGATAAGAGATAATCTGGAAAGTTGTGAATTAGGAATGGTGATGGCAACACATATATTTATAGCACTAACACAATTTCTTTCAAAAGGTGAAAAGAGAAAAAAAAACATAAACTTGAAATAAATGATGCTCCTGAATTTAGTATAAAATGGGAGGAATGTATGCCAGTTCATTATGGTAGCCATTTACTGGAGTTAACAAATTAAAAAAATTTAGCTCACCTTTTAACTTTTTATGGTGAGCTTATGCATGGCAGCATTCACTCTATCATTAGTTATCATTTTGTGGGCATCAAAGAAATCAAGTATTTCCATTTCTATGTTCTTCACCTGTCAAACAAAATAACTCATTAAACTGCTACAATTCAAACTTTCAAAATATTTATAATATTAAAAATCATTATCCAAAACAATTACCACATTCATGTCAACTCTTAGATCTTCAAACCAAGCAACGTTCTCTTTCTCCTTGAGCATATTGGCTACATAAATGCAGGCTAATCTAATCAGATGTGGTGGATGCACTAGAATTAGATCCGTCTTATACATGTCATTCACAAGTCCCTTGATAAATAATTTCATAAAACAAATCAAGATTGATGTAAAGATGGTCAAACTTCAAAGCAACATGTTAAAAAACAATCAATAGCAAGTCAACTGAGTTGACTCACTCATCCCAACATCTTGAACCAATCTGTATAAGATAAACCTCAAAATATATTTTAAACATCATTTATACACTTTATATAAATAAGACAAAAAAATGAGGTCTTACTGAGTCAACGACACTTCAAGACTGTCAAATTTTGGCCAATTTTCCACAAGGACGTCCTTTGTAATTAAGCGGAAAATACACGAATTTGATGTTTGAACTCAATATTTCTAGGTTACTTTATTCTTAACAGATATTATCAATAAATAGGAAAGGAGCAAAAAAATATAATTTTCATGCCTCTGAAGCTTCAAACTTTAAAACCACCAAAAATGTAATTTTCTTGAGGAAAGTTTCTGAAAGAGATAAGATGTAAAAAGATCTGAAATTAATATTCAGAAAACAAGGCACATAAAATAGTTAATGCAAAAGTATAGATGCGGGTTCTACCAATTACAAGCATAGTTGTCGAAATTGTACAGTTCACATTCAAATCAAATGTGAGATTTATCATTTCTCTTCAAGCAAAAACTTAATACCAAATCATGACTCCTTTCAAATAACTACACATGTAGTAGTTTTCTATAATAAAACCCTAAGATCAGATATGAAAAAAGGATAGTTGTTAGAATAGATATTATTCAAATAATGTGAAACTGCCTAATGTGATTCTTATTTGTTCTTATTATTATTATTATTATTATTATTATTATTATTATTATTTTAATGATTCTTGGTAGCAACATATAAATATATAAAAACGAAAATCAAGAAAGCATTCATACTAAGTCGCACCGACTCCATTAATGTATATGGGAAGGCTTAACAACGGTTTGAAACCGAATGTAGGTAATTGTAAATTGAAGTTTAAATGGGTTTAAAATGAGTTTATTTTGCACAAATACATGGTAATGATAGAGGAAACAAATTCTAGGACCACCTATTCAGAAACTGAAACAACAAGAAACCATAGATAATCTACACTTCTACAGAAAGTTCTGAGTTTTGACAAAGATCAAGAAATACATGTCATAAAGAAGACACACCCTTTACAGTGTTTTTTACCTTGACGGTGAATTTGATTACACAGAAAACTCAAACGCCTCTTCTATTTCCGAAAAATACCATCAATATATACCTATTTCAATATCTTCTCTCTGCCTCCAATCTTCCGTAGAAAAATGTTTGTAGAATCGTACTTCTTGGTGATGTCAATACATGAAGTTTGCAAAAACACAAAAGGAACTGCCTGCGCTATAGATGAAAGAGACAAACAAAACATAATCAGATGGCAAACCCAGAGGTAGAGAAAATAATGTAAAAAAACAACCTAAACATGACATAATCAAATCCACCTTTATCGTAACTGACGATTGTTAATTGTTGATGACGGAAGATTAGGGTTTCGACGATCGCTAATTGGTGATGCAAGAGAAGGGAGATGAATGAATTACAAACCGATGAAACTGTCGACGAAGAATTGCGATTAGAATATGAGAGTTGGCAGATAATGCAGAGGCTAACTGTGTTTGTGGGCGGGTACAGGGAGTCCAAAATGAAGCGGTGTGGCGTCCTGTAAAATGCGACGGTACCCATGGATCTTCCTCAATGATTTCACGCTAACACGTGACCGGTGTCATGTATCGATTGTAAAGGCGAATTAAGGTTACGTTTTCCGCTATCGATGGAAGCAAAGGGAATTGTTTTTTGTGTCTTTAGGTTACGATTGGAAGAAGAAGAAGAAAAAGAAG